ATGAGTAAAAACTGTCGCATAGATTTTTAACTGATTCTAGAAAATTAAGCTAAAATCTAAAAAGGTAAAGTATTCTAAATATCGTGAACTTTCATAATTAACATAAACAAGCATTTATCTAAGGGAGATAATTTCAAAATACATTGCCAGAAAAAGTATGTCACTATTCACTGGTGATATCTATATTGAAAATAAATGAACAGAAGGAATAAAAAAAACATTTATTATATAATATAAAACTAACAAATATTTCTATTCTGGTTATTTTTCTGATAAGAAAAATAATTTTGTATTACAAATATTAACAATATATACCTTTCATAACAATACAAAATAGTAACAATCAGCATATATTATTCATAATTAACACATAAGTAATAATCATTTTATATTTTACAGTCAAAGAAATCATTTTTTTCATAGTTTTGAAAGATAAAATATCAATGTTAAATGTATAAAGGAACTAGAGGGAATCATTCCCCATAAAATTCTCAACAGCTTATATCACGAAAACGAGGCCAAGCACTTTGTTCTGCTTTTTCAGTTCTATTATTTGAATATACTGTCTTACTATAACTGTCTTACAGTATTTGCAAAAGCTATTTATTTAAACAGTGGAGCTAACATCCTTAATACAAATGAACATGACTTTTTTGTGATAGACAAACTATCCTTTATAGCTTGCTATTCAATGTGAGCCAAGGCTCCGTGTTGAATATAAAAAAGAAGATGTGGTATGATTGCCGATGAGACAACTATCCACAAGAGACAAAATGACACAGAAATTAACAATTATAGGTCACCGTACGGTCTTCAACAATGAGCAAAGCCCATACCGCACAGTCAGCTAAAAAAAGCCCCGAAAAGACAATGTAAAACAATTCAAACGAGAAAACTAACGGCCTAATTTATGTACAAAAAATGAACGAAAAACAAATATGTAACACATAAAAAAACGACAACCACTGAATCACAGGCTCCTGACTTGGGACAGGCACATACATACAGAAAGTGGCGGGGTTAAACATGTTAGCGGGATCCCAACCCTCCCCTAACCTGGGACAGTGGTGTAACAGTACAACATAAGAACGAACTATAAAAATCAGTTGAAAGAGTCTTAACTCGTCAGATGGATAAAAATACAAATAATACAAATACAAGTGGACGTAGACCGTCCGTACTTTGACATATAATAGTTTACTTTAACAAATTATGACTTGGATGAGAGAGTTGTCTCATTGGTACTCATACCACATCTTCTTATATCTATATACAGTGTAAAGTCATAACAATGTATATACAAGTAACATATAAAGTTCTGTAGAACTTTTAACAGATCAATATAACTAGTTCTTTTACATATTTCTCAATTATAAAAATCCTAAATCTGTGACACGAATCAAATAACAATTCTAAGAACTTCAGTTTTACTAAAGGAACCCTTTTTTATGACAGCAAAATCTGTAAACTTAAGGATGTTCGCTCGCCATATTTTATGCTTTTTTGGAAGATTTTCGGAATCCTTTCGTTTTATCTATTTAAACGCCATTAAATATTTTTCACTCTTTTTACTCATTTTTATTTTCAGTAATCTTTTACACACAAGATAAGACGTCATTTGTAAATGTCTAATCAAATCCGAGTTATTTTCTAATATGTTTTGAGAAATAAAACTAGGAAATTATAATGCTATGAAAAATCAAGAGAGAACTTTTTCCGCCATATTTTCAGAAACTTGCTTCTCTTAAACCAGCACACAAACCTCGCACTTTAATTTCCTTTGTGAATCTTATATTATTATTCACCAGTGTTATGCAAAGCTTATTATTTTGAAACTGAGTAGCGAACATCTTTAATAAACGTCAGTTTTAATATGTACATAATGTAGAGAAGTAAATAGGAATCTATATTGATAGAAAAAAATGGGTAAAATGACAAAATGAAAACATATCCCTACCACACACTCCATTTACATGATTTAGTAAATCATATAACAAGACAAGTAATGATAGCAAAATTTGTAAGCTTTATGTAAATGAGTTTTATGTACAAAATTTAGAGTAGAAAAACAGAAAGCAACATTGATAGCTAAAAAAAAAACAAACAAATTATCATAAATTGACAATATGAAAAAAATAGTACTACCACACGCTCCATTTAACAAATAATCCAATAAAAGAAAAATCTGTGAACATAATACATATTATGTACAATAGGTAGAATAGAAAAAAACATTGATAGTAGCAAAACAATAAATAAATCATTAAATGACACTATGAAAAAAAGAGTAATTTCACACGCTCCATTCAGTAAATAATCCAACAACACAAGTGATGAAAGCAAAATATGTAAACTTAATCAATACGAGTATTATGCACAAAATATAGAATAGTAAAAAATATTGAAAGAAAAAAAAAAAACAATTAAAGAAATTAGAATGCTACCACACCCTCCAGTTAGTTATAAATTCAATTAGCTTAATCGTGAGTTTTAATATGTACATAATGTAGAGAAGTAAATAGTAATCAATATTGATAGCAAAGAAATTAATAAAATGACAAATTGAAAACAAATACCTTTCACACGCTCCATTTAGTAGATAATCTATCAACACAAGTAATGATAGCAAAATGTGTAAGCTTAGTTTACATGAGTTTTATGTACAAAATCTAGAGTATAAAAACAGAAAGCAACATTGATAGCTACAAAAAACAAAACAAATTATCATAATATGAAAATATGAAAAAAATAGTACTACCACACTCTCCATTAAACAAATAATCCAAAAACACAAGTAATGATAAAAAAGATATGTAACCTTAATCAAGATGAGTATTTTGTACAAAATGTAGAGAGAAAAAATACCAATTATTGTTAAATGACAATATGAAAAAAGAGTCCTATCACACGACCTATCTAGTAAATAATCCAACAACACAAGTAATGTTAGCAAAATTTGTAAACTTAATTTACATGAGTATTATGTACAAAATCCAGAGTTAAAAAACAGAAATCTACATTGATAGCAAAAAAAAAAAACAAAAACAAAAAACAAATTATCATAAAATGACATTATGTAAAAAGACTTCTACCACACCTGCATTTAATCAATAATCCAACAACACAAGTAATAAAACCAAATAATATTAACTTGAATACATATTATGTAAAGAATACAGCATATCAAAATTAGATATGTCTCGTCTGTTCTTGATGATAAAATCAAGACAAAAGAAATGTGACTTTAGAAAATTATGACAATTTTAGCTAAAAGTAATGATAGAATAAAAATGTTTACTGAGTGTCTTACATATAAAAATAAGAAGATGTGGTACGATTGCCAATGAGACAACTCTCCATCAGACACCAAACGAAGACGAATGTAAGCAACTATAGCTCACCATACAGCCTTCAACAATGAGCAAAACCCATACCGCAAAGTAATCTTTGTAAGGCCCCGAAATGACAAAATAATGTTAAAACAATTCAAACGAGAGACTACATGTAACGGTCTGATATATGTACCAAACAATAAACGAAAAACAAATATGATATACAACAACACACGACAACCACTGAATTACAGTTATAACAAATAAGTCTATTCTGTTCCTGTTGATAAAATCAAGACTGAACACAACTAAGTAATGAAAAAATTACGATCTTGTCTAAGTGTGGTACATATAAAAATACGAAGATGTGGTATGATTGCCAATGAGATAACTCTCCACCAGCATGACCAGAGACCAAATGACGTATACGGTATGCAAATATAGGTCACCATACAGCCTCTTACAATGAATAATCCCATACTGCATAGTAAGCAACAAAAAAGAAAGACCACCCCTGATTTATAGTTGAATTCATTGGCATCAACAGAATGGGTTTGCTTTATGTGATTTTAGGAAACATAAGAGAATAACAATGAGAGTATTGTGGAACAGTTATATTATACACAAAACTAAAACAAATAAGTGATATCATTGTAATGTTTACTGAGTGTGAAACAGTTATATTCATTGGCACGAACAGAATGGTTTTACTGCACAATCAATGAAATATGCATCTTCTGTTCCTGGTAATGAAAGAAATGTGGCTTAAGAAAACAACGAAGAAACTAAAACAAACAAATAAGTAATGATAGCATTGAAATGTTAACCGAGTGTGATACAGTAATGTTCATTCGCATCAACAGACTGGTTTCACTGAACATCAAACTGTTCTGTTTCTGGTATTCAAACATGTCAAATCAAGACGAAAAAAATGTGATTGAAAAAAACAATGGAAAAACTAAAACAAATAAGTAATGATAGCATTGCAATGTTTACTGAGTATGGTACAGTTATATTCGTTGACATCAACGGAATAGTTTTGCTGTACATCAAAATTAAATATGTCTCTTCTGTTCTAAGTGATGAAATCAAGACGAAAGAAATGTGACTGTAGAAAACAATGAAGAAACTACAAAAAAAAAACTAATAAGGATAGAATTACAATGTTTACTAAGTGTTGTACAGTAATATTCATTGGCAACATCACAATGGTGTTACTTCACATCAAAATCAAATATGTCTCTTCTGTTCCTGATGGAAAAATCAAGAAATATCTATGTGAAGGGAGGCTATGCTACGTGTGTCCTGTAACCATGGTTACATAAGGGACATTAGTAATGAGGTGGATAGTAGTAGATATCAGACAGAGACAACAGTAATGGGATGAAAAACAGTGGATATCAAACAGAGACAGAAATAATGGGATGAAAAGCAGAAGATATCTAACACAAACAGATATAATGGGATAAATAACAGGAGATATCAGACAGAGACAGAAATAATGGGATGAATATTAGTATATATCTAACAGAGACAGAAGTAATGGGATGAAAAGCAATAGATACAGACACAGACAGAGTTATTGGGATAAAAATAAATAGACATCAAACAGAAAAAGAAGTAATGGATGATGATTAGCAATAGATAACAAATAGAACAACAAGATATTTAAAAAAGACCATCATCAAAAAAGATCAACTCTGGGGATTTTTTTTCTGACAGTAATCTTACTATATCAGTATGTCCTTGCTGACTTGCTATGCTCAGAGGACTAAGACCATCATTGCGACAAAGATCAACGTTAGGGTTCATCTCTAACAACAACTTTACTATATCAGTATGTCCATTCTGACTTGCCATGAACAGAGAACTACAGCCATCATTGTCACATCGATCAATACCAGCATTCCTCTCTAACAACAGCATTACTATATCAGTATGCCCATTCTCACTTGCCATGTACAAAGGACTACCGCCTGTATTGTAACATAGATTAACGTCAGAATTCCTCTCTAACAACAACTTTACTATATCAGTATGTCCAATCTGACTTGCCATGCACAGAGGACTGCAGCCATTTGTGTTACGTAGATCAACGTTAGAATTCCTCTTTAACAACAACTTTACTATATCAGTATGTCCATTCTGACTGGCCATGAACAATGCACTACAGCCATTTTTGTTACATAGGTTTATATCAGCATTCCTCTCTAACAACATTATTACTATATCAGTATGTCCTTCCTCACTTGCCATCATCAGTCCAGAAACCCCATCGTCTCGACATTGATTCACATCCACATCATTCTGTAACATCCACTGTACCATATCAGTATACCCATTATGACAAGGTATTATCAGTGGAGTAGTTCCTGATCCATGATGCTCTTTTGGTAACACTGTATCCTTGGTATTGGCTAATGTGACTTGCTGTGATTTGTCCAGCTGTTTTAAGTTCTGTAATAACTGTTGTCGAAATAATGGTACTTCCATATTATTGTTACGGAATATAACTCTCACTTTTCCAGTTGACCAGTCCTTTATAAACCTTTTTAAATATGATTCTAAATAATCACCAGGAATTTCAATACTAGTAATGAACTCTATTTTACTGTTCTTGGCATCTGGTGATTGTCTCCAAATAAAACGTACATGTATTAAATCAATATCACCATGGTCTATTAAACATTCAATCATTTTCTGACCAAAGTAATGAGCAAGAAAGTCAAACAATTTATCATGTATAGTTCTATAAATACCATTCTGTTTATAAACTAATGTGCCATCTAGAGTGAGAAGGGCCTCTTTAAGTTCTGCCTTGGAAGTACCTCTGTTCAATCTACAAGCCTCACATGTGTCTTCTATGAAACATCGTTGTTCATCTGTCACTTTACCCTGGAACCATTTTTCTGTCAGTTCATTATTGAATAGAACTAGTAAAACTAGACTGCATATTTTATAGTTCCCTTCATCACCATACCTACTTAAACTGTCTAGTTCATTTTGATAGACAATACATGGGTTTTTGAAAAATTCTTTAACATCACCATGTTTCCCCCCATGATATAAATAGCATAAAAGTGGAAAGAATTCAATATTTTGTGATAACTTATCAATGTTGTCCAAGCTTGAACCAATATATTTGTTTGCCATAATATTCTTTTCTACAGATGTAAGGCATAACTTATCTGACATTAAATTACATTCACTGAATTTAAAAGGTATTAATATATTAAACTTATCATCTCTATAGACTTGTTACCTACAAGATACAATAATCTTACAACATGTGTCTGCAATAATTGTGTCTATCACAGGTAACAGTTGTTTCCAACTTTCAATTTGTTGTTGGTTGGCAGTAAAATTTCCACAAATATCGTCCACAATGAAGACAGTCTGTTTACCAGGTTGATAATAAGCTTCGATATCATCTGGTTTTTTCACTGGTATTATTGTGTATCCTTTTTTCTGTAAAACTAGTGCTGTGTGTCTTGCAATAAAAGATTTCCCTACTCCTGATGGGGCAGTTAAAGTCAAACAACTGTTGTCCTTTAAATGTTTAATGACGTAATCACTGGCTCTTGTAGTCACAAACATCTCATCCTTTTTTTCCCAGTCTTTTATTTGTATTTTCATTTGGTCTGAAAACATAGAAAGTGTGCTAATATGTTCTATAATAGTATATACTTAGAAATAAAAATTTGATTGACTGATTGATGCTTAATATCACTTCCAGCAATGTTGATTATTTCGTGGCGGTCAGTTTTTATAGGTTGAGGAAACTTTACTGCCCGGAACCACCGACCTTCTGTAGGAAAACTGACATTCGTAGTTAATTATGATTGGAGTCGAGCACTCCAGCCACGTCGGGGATTCAAAATCACAACCTTAGTGTTCACATGCTTGTGATACAGCAGTTGGACTACATAGACCACTCGGCCACCGAGGCTCAAATAAAAATTTTACTTTTATATGCATTACAAATGTATATATTTTCATTTAAAACATGCATAAAAAAGATAATAAAGTCTATGGTATACTGAGTTGTTTCACATTTTGAAATCTTTGAACCTTTGAAGTTATAACTTACTATACAGCATCGGTTCTAAATATCGTTGAAGACTGGATGACAACCTCCATTGTTATACGAGCTTGTCCTTTGTTGGAGATTTGTCTCATTGGCCATCACATCATATATGATTGTTTAGATAACACTATTATTGAAACTCCCCCAAGATAATTATACCGTAAAAAAAAGACAATAAAATATTGTCTTGGTTAACCATGGATCGGTACTTTAAACTAATAGTAAATTCATTCAAAGGAAAACTAAAATACATGGTTTTGGGGTTTTTAAATCAATTATTTGACCTTTATTGAATGGACAAGGTCAGTCGTCATCGCCCATGGAATAAGACTCATTGTCTTTTGGTGGTGAACTCATATACTAAATACGAAAAGCGAGACATAACTTTATTTGACGACTGTGTCAAAGGTCAAGGTCCCAAACAGTCATAACAATACACTTACCGTCTTTTAGTGATAAATCTTCATACCAAGTGTCATAAGTCAATGGCAAAAGAAAAAAAGAATTTGGCCTAGGCAAGTATGTACTGGCCTACTGAGATCTGACTGCATGCAAATTTGCATGTGTATGCTTACGAATACCCTTTATTCTAATTTGAAAACAAAATGAAGAAAGAGCAAAATATGTCTACGGGAAACAAATCCCCTGCTTGATAATATACGGAATATTTAGAATTTTGTTTTTCATTTGAAAAGGGACATAACTCTAGAACGGTGAAAGTGACGCCATCAATTCAAGTTTAATTTGTATTTTGATGGTAGTAAGCACTGTGTATAAGTTTCACAATGTTTGGTTGAGGCAAAGTAAAGTTATCGGGCGGAAACTTCCAATTCGGCAAATATTTCATTTAAATAGGGGCATAACTACATGTAAAGAATGCTAAAATTGAGGCCACCCTAATTCGAACTTGATCTGTGTTTTGTGATAATAGGAATTGTGTATCAGATTCAAAACATTGGCCATTTCAGAACAGTAGTAGGGTGATATTCAACCTCCCAAGCACATCTCTGTTACACAGACTGGACTTTAAACTAGAATGAGTACTTTGGGGGCCTCGATTGGTCAAAATGGCCAGCGACTTTGACCTGGAGATCAATCTGTAAATATGTCTTTTGTTTGGATATTCTTGCCTAGAAGGCTGATAGTTCTCTTAGAATTTTCCGGCTTCCTCCACCATAAATCAGACTTCCTTGTGGTGTAATACTCACCTTGTGGAGTTATAAAATGTAAAAATACATGACATGAACTAATTATATATATACCTCTAATATGTTTTGGTATAACTTCTTCCTACTCAATTTTCATTTTCATTATTTTCTCTTTTAGATCTGAATTAAGAACAGAAAATTGATCCTGTGTTTTATTATACTAAGCAAATTACATAAACAAAATGAATTATTCAAAATTCTCATGATAAACCCATGTATATAAAAAAATAGACAAAATATACAGCCTTCAACAATGAACAAAACCTATGCCTCATAGAAAACTCTGAATTGCCCCAACATTACAAATGTTAAACAATTCAAACGAGAAAACTAAAGGCGGTAATCCTTTCATCTAACATAGGACAGTCATGTAACAGCAACAATTAAGAACAAACTACAGCTAGACATGCTAGAGGATATGTATTGCTCACATGCATCTTCAACAATGGCCACTTTTTAGTAAAAATTATCATGTAAAGAGAACAACTAATTTAAATGTTAACTGAAAAATTAAATCATGTTAACATGTTTGCCAATCTTATCCTGCTAATAAAGTTTCCTTTCTAAAGTTTCTTTTGATCTTTTTATTTTATTATCAATTGAAGCAGAGATATGTCTCGCCTATCGGAATAAAATTCAGAAATAGACAATCTGATGGACGGCAACACTGCTTATTAATTCTGTCACTGGACCATGATCTTGTTGGCAGGACCAGATAATGGTCAACAAACTGAGCTGTACAGACAGTAATGTAACTTCATACAAAATATCATTGATCTATCACAAGTAGATCACGTCAAATTAACTAAAGCAGAACACTTAACATTGAAAATTGCTTATTAATTCAAAGTCACTGGACCATGTCCTAAGGGACAGGGCCTTAAAATAGTAGTAAAACTGATATGTACTAATAGTAATGCAACTTTACACAAAATATCATTGATCTATCACAAGTCAATCCTATCAAACTTCAAACTAACTTAAGGGCATACGATACAGTTACAGGGGATTTAATGACGTTGCTAACGTAAAATGTTATTTTCGCGACGTCAAACTGAGACATATCGAAAAAAGAGTCATTTTTTTACTGTTTTTCATGACTTAAACAGATTTAACTTGAAAACAAGAACATGGACCCCTCTTTTTTAAAATGGCATTATGTTTGGTTAAGTATGAAGATTATTTGTACCAATTTTAATGAAAAAGTCAACATTGACATTTTTTTAAATTTGATAAATATACCGCAAAAATATCCGTTTTTTTCCTAAAATCCTGAAACTTTGTTAAACATTAATTATTTCCAAAGAAATGTTATACATATTAAGAGCATATTTATTTTAAGAAGATTTTCATAATGTTTCTACAAAAATCCGCTTGTGTTTATCTGTTGAAATAAAAAAGTTAGGTGTGTCTATCCAAAGGAAAGAAATGTCCAAAAAACCGAAATTTTGAGTAAATGTCTAACATTTCGACCCCTTTTATCTCTTAAAGTAGCACATGAAGGTATATTTTTTATTACATATTTGAATAGCTTAGGTAAAAAATAGCTTGTTTGCAAATTTTCGTAGAAAAGTCATTATGTGATCGAAACTGTATCGTATGCCCTTAAACAGAAAACTTAACATTGAAAATTGCCTATTAATTCAAATAACTTGACCATGTCTAAGGGGGGCAGGGCCTAAAAATTGTCATCAAACTGATATGTACTAATAGAAATGCAACTTTCATCGTCAATATCAGTGATCTATCACAAGTAGTTCCTATCAAACTAATTTAAACAGAAAATCGTAGTCGTAGCTGGAAAAGCAACCCTATATCTCGCTTTCCGCGACTTTCGTCGCAGGTAAGACGAAAATGTAAAAAAAATATCATTAAAGGGCAATAACTCCAACAACCAGTCGGCTGAATATTAAAACTATTTACTTATTTGTATATTTTGTCTTCCTGATCATTTGTGATATTTAAAGTTTATATCTTTCTATAACAATTTTCAAGATAATAGGCAAACATTGAACATTGAAATTAACATTAAAGGGCAATAACTCTCATGATGAGTCGTCTGACGACATTAATCTCGTTGACTTATGTGTATATCTTGTCTTGCTGTTTATTTTTGTTTCTTAAAGTTTTTTTCCATCTTTTATAATTCGAGATAGTAGGGAAAACAATTTTAAAGTGGTAAAATTCGTCATTTAAGG